CCCGTGTCAAAGGTTGGGGGTGGCTGACGATTCGGAGGTGGCTGCGGGTTGACGAAAGGGAAAAGCGCATCGCCGACCACGCACTCAGTTACAAACCATAACCTAGTTCACACCTGGTATTTCCGCCTGTTTTAACAATTAGTATATTAAATTGACAGAGCGGTGTCTGTCTATATAAAACTTGTTTAAAAAGTGCGCTCGTTTGTTTGCAATTGTACGCGGTGCATTCATTTGGTATTTAAACGGTCCCGCTACGTTTTGTAGACAAAAACCAGGAGAACAGTGTTGGAATAAAGTTTACATTCATTGTTGAGATTTTAATTGTTAACATTGTAAAGTATATCGCCACGACAGTTGTTTAAAAATTGCGCTCACTTGTTTGCCATTGTGCGCGGTTGCATTCATTCAGCGATTAATACAGTCACAGTTTGCTTTTTAGACAAAGACCATGAACATTGTTGAGATTTCTGCTTTAGATTAGAAAAGGCAAACAAATTGCTCTCGTGCTGTTTGAGCTGACAGTAAGCCGAATTATACACTTTTTATGATTTAAGATTTTTTTTTTTTATAATGAAAGAAGGTTGGGTATTTGAGTCCGATCGTCATATGATTTAGTAAAGAACGTCTGCCAGTCATTTCCTGTTCCTTGGCTGGTTGTTTTTCTTCACTTTGCTTCATCGATTCCTCATTTCTGTTTAAAAGCAAGTTCAATAATATGACCCCCCTCTCTCTCTCTCTCTCTCTCTCTCTCTCTCTCTCTCTCTCTCTCTCTCCCTCTCTCTCTCTCTCTCTCTCTTTCTATCTCTCTCTCTCTCTAACACAGAATCCAATCACAAAACACGAAACCGTACGCAAAAAGCTGGTCGTCCACCAACCATACATCTACCATTTCCTTTCCCTTGCTCCCCCTCTCTCTCTCTCTCTCCACTAGATCTATCTCCCCTCTCCTCCCCACAGCTTTGGCGCACTCAGGCTAACACGGACACGTAAATAAGACACAAATCAAATTACGTTCACAAGTGTACGGGAGGAGGGAGCTTTCTCTGTATATATATATATATATATATA